TGTGTGTGTGTGTGTGCGCTATGGCCAGAGGCCAAGCAAGGGAAATGAAAGATCTCTGATAAAGAGTTTGATCTAATACTTTAAAATAAAAAGATTGATAACAGGAAAGAATCAAGAATAGGCTCTTTCTCTTTTACTCACAAAAGCAGAATTTGAAGCTCTCAATGCAGCGGTTGAAAGAAACTGAAAGGGGACACTGGGCGCCAAGGTACTTATATGGGTGGGGAGGGCCATATTCTAATGTGTATATTGCTACCGCAGAAGCTCTAGACTCTTCCGATGAGGCTCCATGCAGGCGCAAATCCCCCAAGGTGTGATTCACAGAGGCCACCAAGAACAACTTACCTTTTAAACTGAAGACTGTGTGTGTTCTGTGCTCTAAACTGATTTATAGTGACTTTAACAGAGCTTTCAAGGTGAGATATTTAAGAAGTGGTGTTACCAGTTCAGTACCCCAGTGAGTTTCCATGGCCAAGTGGGGATCCGAATCCTGTTCCTCAGAGTGCCAGTCTATCACTCTATCTACTACACTACACCACACTGGGAATTCTCAACTGAATGCTAAAAGTCAGTAAATGCATTTCCCCTTCCAAGGAGCCAGTTTTGCTGGAAAATGGCTAGGTCTCCAAATATTGGAATATTTAACATAAACAAAATATAGAGGTTCCCACCTATCTCGATTATAAACCCACACAGAAGGAAATCCTCAAGTTATACCATGTGGGTCAGCCGTTGCGGCTCAGAGCTCTTCTCACCCCAACTGGTCTGTGACAAGACTAAAAGAACCAGAACGCTCGTCTGTGTTACAAACACTTCTCCACAGGAAAGAATGAATGAAGAGGCAGGTGGACAGGCTTCTAATGGCCCTAAAGATTATTTTCAAGATCACTGTATGTAAATACACACCAGAGTTACTCCTCCAGATAGACATGGCTAGTCTTGCTTCATGTTTAAATCTGCCGACAGAACACGATCCTTCTTTTCCCAGCCTCCCACACCACAGGCAACACAACCAGAGAGAGGAAGGAGTTAAAAATTCCAGGCAATTTATTGATTCCAGGCAATTTATTGGCTAGAAGTCCTATGAATGGTATACAGTACTAAGACCAGACATTTATTACATGAAGCACAAAAAAAAAGGCAGGCGTCACACATTGGTTGGTCCTCTTTGTGATGAGCCTTTATAATGCCCTCTGTTCCTACAGTAGCAGAATATCCACCCACCCAGAGACCTCCTACTATCCACATATATATGGGGCCTTCACTGAGGAAGCAGGACCTTCTTGAACTTCAACCACGAGGTTTATGGAGACTAGAAATAGTTTTTGGAACCCAACTCTCAAATCACACAACATCATGAAAAAAAAATCCCAAACAATTAATTTCTCCAGGTTCTGCTTACTATACCTCTCAATATGGAACAGACCCCATTGTCTAGGTTACTTCTCCCTCCCTGGCCACATGCAATCATAGAGCTATTCTTGCAGCCGAGTATCTCTAGAGGTGGACAAGTCCGTCCTCCTCTGGAAGTGGTTGGATGCAGCTCTCTTTGGTGCTACACGCCATGGCTGGTGGTTAGGGATGAAGTCTGATCATCACTGCAAGGAGTAAAGGGTTGTCTACCTTATACGAAGGGGCAAGGGAGGCAGATCATGTGTGAAGTTCACTTCTATAAGGAATCTTCTCCCACCACAAAGCTACAGGTCTTATAGGAAAGCACAAGAAGGGTATCCACATTCCAGAGGGCCACACTTGACCCCCATCCCTCAGAAAGCCTTGGCATTCGCTACTCTTCGATGTTGCAAGAATGAAGGGAGGGCAGTGGTGGCAAGTTCTCTGCCCCACCGCCGCTCCCCATCTTAGTTGCCATTGGCGGAGGGGAAGGGAGAGAAAGCTTAAGGGTAGAAATAACGAGGTGTATCTTCTTTACTAGGTTGACCTTTGCTGTAGAACAAAGACACACACATTGCAGGGTACATTTTAAGCACAGACATAGGTAACTAAAAAAAAAAAGGACATGCACACACACACACACAAACATGGCTGTTGCATGGAAAGCTGCAGCCCAACAGCATCACGTTTTTATTGCACTTGAGTAAAGTATGTAAACATGGAACAAAGTTCAGGCTGCTCCCCGGATACGTTGCAACTGGCTCAGAACGCAAATCTGACTGGCCGTTGAGACAAGAGGCCTAAGTGGGCATGAGGTTTAAGACAAATGTAAACATGAGGGGGAGCAGCAGTATCCTCTGTCAGGACCAGGGACACCAGGCACTTTCCCCAAATGCCTCTACTTGCTCTTTGCACCCTGCAAGTCCCAGGGACTAACTCACCCGAGAGCCTCTCTCTCATATAGTCTGTGGCTCTTCTCCCACCACCTAGTCTTGCTACCAGGGTACGGTGGCGTCCGCTGAAAGAGCACAGTGGTCCCTCCGCTGACACGAGAGACGGTCTCGGGAGGCCTTTTGCCCACTTGGGAGCCTCCTGCTGCCACCTCTTCCTCCCCAGGCACCTGGGACATAGGGAAAGGGGCTCGGCCTTTTGCCCCCTTGAACTTTACTTCTCCATCTTCCTGTTTTGATCCAAAGTGAGGTCAGAGCAAGGGATGTTCCCTGCTCTCATCTTCTGCTGCAACCTGACAGTTCAGACGAGAAGCATAGCCAAGATGTCCAAGTCAGGGTATCCCCTCCAGGGAGGCGACAGGAAAGGTTGCTTTGCCACGTTCAATTCGGGCAACCCGGCGCTGATTCTAACTTAGCTTGCTGGAATGGTGAGACCGTGTCACTGGCAGAGGCAGCTTGTGGAGACCTGAGGAGGGCAGGAGGAAGGAAGGAAGGAAGAAACAAGAGGAAAGAAAAACTAAGATCTGGAAGCAGAATGTCCACCCAAACAAGAGGAAGCTCAAGCCAACACTCTTTTAAAACTGCAGTTTTATTATTTGTTGCAAATATGTTCCGAGTCGGTTGCTGAAGAGTGACTGCTAAGCACAGTGAACAAAAATGAAACCCCCAGCAAAGCATGTGAACAAACATAGCTAGAGAGAAAATGAATGTGGAAATCCCTTTAGGACAGTGTTGCTGAAGAGTGACTGCTAAGCACAGTAAACAAAAATAGCTAGAGACAAAATGAATGTGGAAATCCCTTTAGGACAGGATGGGAGAGGTGCAGCCCTGGAATCAAATGGGCTCCCCCCAAGTGATGAGGCGGCCCACCAGACCTGCCCAGCCCCCTCTTGTTCCATCAGGGAAACCAGGGCTGCTCCTGGAAGCCTCCAAGCCTGACCATTCATTCACCTTTTAAGTAGGCCCATAACCCTCCATCCTTCCGCTACTTAATACCTCCAAATGTCCAGTTCTTCAAAACAAGACTTCTACAGCCACATCAACTTCTCTATTCTACTCTACTCTATTCTAGTTTCAGCAATCAGTGTGGCCCTTGGAGGAAGAAAATGGGCCCCCAAACCCACTTGCCTGACATGAAGGATGCCTGATGAATAAGTAGGAGGGTTGTTTTTTTTGCCTAGGCAGTAAAATGGTGGAAGGATCATAAAAGTATTACAAGCTTTGCACCCCCAGGATCAAAGGCCCAGTACATACAGGCATCCCCATAAGAAGGGGCTATGATAACAACCCTCTTCTCCTCCTCCCCACTTCTGCCCAGGAGTCTAGCCTTCACTGCTATTCCCTAGGAGCTCAGGAAGTTCTTTTTCAAAGTAATTCATGCTGCAACTTTATGATAAAGCCCCCAATAGCCACGTTGCCTAATAATGTTGTGTTTTTCAAGAGAACAACATACTATATTACTCATTGGTTTCTACCTCTTTTATTTTGGGGGTGGGATATATCATAGGAAGAAAAAATAGCTTGCAATTTGGCACGGAAAAACACACACACCTCAAAACGCCCCAAGGATGTATTTTAAAACCTCTACCAAAAAACAAGAGAAAGGAGTAAATAAATACAATGGTACCCCGCTAGACGATTACCTCGCAAAACGGTTAATTCGCTAGATGAGTTTTTGCGATCGCTACAGCGCTTCACAAAATGGTGTTTCCTATGGGTGATTTTCGCTGGATGATGTTTCAGACCATGCTTTGCAAGACTTTTTTTTCTCGGGACCGATTTTCGCAAGACGACGATTTTGACAGCTGAGTCTGCGACTCGCAAAACAGGTGTTTTCGGGACTTTTTTTGCAAGACAACAATTTTTACAGCTGATCTGCGCTTCACAAAATGGTTTCTCTATGGGCGATTTTCGCAAAACGACGACGATTTTTCCCCATTGGAACACATTAAACGGATTTCAATGCATTCCAATGGGGAACCGCATTTGGCAAGATGATATTTTCGCTAAACAGTGATTTTTCCTGAAAGAATTAACATTGTCTTGCGAGGCACCACCGTATTGCAAATGCACAAGGAGTGTTCTTACTTCTAACCCGTTACTCCATGGTCTGCCGTCAACCCACTTAATGGTCCAACCCACACCCCTCGCAAAGTCATCATGGGACGACGTTGGAATGGAAAAGCTACCCCTCCAGCTTACCAAAGGCTCTGATGAGTTCTGCTTGGACAGCCCAGGTGAATTTCTTCACGAGGCAAAGAGTGGTCAGGCTGGCAAACAGCATGTTGTAGAGGAAGACAATGTAGAAGTTTCCAAGCCAGTTGAACCTTCCAAAGTCACCTAGCAAGTCAAACCTTGTAATCCCTGAGACACAGAGGGAAGAAGAAAGAGAGGAGGGCGTTTGCCAAGGGCCACAGACTTGCATCTTCATGCTCATTTCCCAATTATCTCAGCACACCTTCATTCATTTTCTTCTCTACTTTTCATTCGCTACTCAAGAGACTTATCCACTGCCACCCCAGCCACCTTGGGGTTCGGGGGGGGGGCGGAACAACAGAGATTCCTCAAAGCTTCGTTTTCCAGGCCCTGTTTTAATTTCAGTTTACTTTCCTATCCAATGCAGGCGCTGAAGCATCCATGCCCCCTACCAAGTTCACCTATCCGGAATTCCAACTACTGTACTCCATATAATCCGATGACACAGCGGAGTTTCATAAAACTCACACTGCCTTTTGCTTGTCTCCCACGCCCGCCCATCCCCCATCAAGGGAGGTCTGCAAAACAGTAGATTTCTCTACTCACCCACCACATGCAAAGACCAATTAGCAAACATTCCTTCCATTCAGAGCTGGATAAACAAGTCCTCAGGCAAACCGAAAGTCATTGGTCATTTTCCTGTCCTTATACCAATGGCCCACAAATCTGGAAATGTTTATCCTTCTCCCCCTACTCTTCAAGCCTTTATTCATCAAAAAGCAATGTGTATCGCTTATATACCACCTCATAGCATTTAAAGCACTCTCTGAGCAGCTTACAAATAATTGTGCAGGCTACACATCAAACTGCTGAATAATCACAGCATTGTGTATGCATGTTACAGCATCTTACCTACATACAGAAATAATATGGGAGTCTGAAGTCCAATGCAGGGTGCATCAGCCTACCTCTCCTTGCTTTTTTTAAAACAAGTTTCTAGTCCATATGGCTATCAGGATAAGTTGCAGGGACAACACTTCTGAGAATTTATTTAGAAAAAAAAGGGGGGGAAAGAAATAAGTTTTCTAGGGGTGGTGGGGCAAATTGCCCTCCCTGTCCTTCTGCTAGATATGTGGAAGTATGCAAATAAGTAAGATATGCAAAGAAAGCAAATGTGCTTGACGTACACTATCGATACAGGTCATAGAACTCTTGTTTTTATTTAAGCATCTTTTAAAATGCCTACAAACCTAGAAATAGGCTGATTTTTCCACAGTGAGGCTGAAGCAGGTGCCTTACTTTGTGCCATCCCATGAAGACAAAAGAGGTCAGCATGAACAACAAGGATGACACTTACCCAAAGTCCGAGACAAAACAGGGAGCGCAGAGCTCAGCACCAAGAGGGAGACACAGTTCCCGATGATCTGCAGGAAAACACCACTTAGAAATAGGGCTTGGGTGCTTGACAATGTTTGTAGCCTCCCCAAGCGTGTACGACTCTGTGTAGCTGTTCCTCCTTTCCTCTTCCATCCATCCATCCTCCCTCCCTCCCTGCAGCCCAGCCATGAAGCGGGTAGCCTTCACCTAGCAGTAAAAACAGACATGGCTCTTTTGGGCCAACATCCTGTTAGGAAAAAACTGCATACAGAAAGGCAACCGCGCAGCAGTCCCCTTCCCCCAATCCTCCCCCCCCCGGGTCAGCCAGCTGTTCTTCATAGAATTAGTTCTAGAATTGGCACTGTGCCTGATTTTACAACAGGTGTATGATTTGGACATGCAAAGCAAAATCTGCTTGTGGAGTGAGGGTAAACATACAAGTGTGCCTATGTGCTTGCATCAGTGGACAGGATCCTGCCCTTGTAGGGTTCCAAATTCAGTACGTTCTTTCCTCTAATGGCAGGAGAAGCAGAGCATTCAGTTTGAAAGCACATACACATACACATAGGCATCCTTCAGTCTCGAGAGACTATGGTAACATGCTCTGAATCGAGGAGTGTCCTCTCCAGAGCATGAAGCCCGGGTAAGATAATGTGGAGGATAGGCTGTTACCCAAGCAGCAGATCCCCCCTCTCCACATTGCTGAAATGGTCCAATGGAAAGGCAAGAGCTAATACGACTGGTTCCAGCAATGTCGCAGGAGTTGGCAGAACGACACATGCTGCCTTCGGGACTCCAGCTCCGGATTTTGCCTCGAGGTTAACTCCTGAAGCCTTTTCCATGAGTGGATATAGCCACAAGGCAGTGGAGGTTTGAAATCGGAGTTTTCCTGGCAGCAACTCTCCTAAAACTGCAGGCCTTCACTGTGCCCTCTTCTTGGGTGCAGAGATAAAGCCCAGGGTATTCCATTTCACAGAGCTGCTCTGAAACAGTGGTAGACTTCCAGATCCTTAGTGCTGTTCACCAACAGCCCCTCTCATCCCCAGATTCAGTGTGTGATTTATCCACTGTCCTGTTCTCAGGTTTAAAATCCTGTAACTTTTAATATTCCATATCTGATTCTCCCTCTCCTCCTCTTTAGGATGTTTGAGCAGCCTTACCCCCCCCTTACTACATGGAACGTTCCATGATGCCATGGCAGTTCAACCAATGAGTTTGCAAGGGTGAGGTCCCCAGTGACACTTGCCAATCTTTAAATGTGTTACATGTAAAAACTCACCTTGGTCATGGCTGTATCATGTCGCTCAGGCAGCAGCTTGGTGAACAGCGGGGAGCTATAGAACCCCACAACAGAGGAAACCATGAGATAGCTAAGACGAGAGACCGTTAAGGAAGCAGAGTGGAGGAACTGTCATAAATACAGACAACACTTAGGCAGGAGGACACGTGTCACTGCTTGCCACTTCCCCTTTGATGCCACCCAAATGCCTCGGTCAGAGGAGGTCACTGCTGAAATGTGTTGAGCCTGAGCTCTTTCCATAAGAATAAAATCTGCATTGTCAACATTTCCATACATCTTGAGATTCTGTCTCCCGTTTGTATTTCTGCTACCAGTGGATGTACCAGGTCCCACTGCAGTGTTTACATGATCCGCTCCCCCTACTGATCTTGTCACTTTGGTCAGGGAGGGACCACACCTGCCTTTTAGGGAGAGAGCCCAGCAGGAAAGGCCAAGTAGGAGAACCTCCACAGAGAAATTTCTCCCAGTATATATATATGCATGTGTGCCAAGCACAGGATTGTTCTGCTCAGTGCGCTTTGGGCCTTCCTTTCCTTTCCACAGAAGTAAGGCTCAGAGAAAGCTGCCGGTATAAGGAATCACCACCAGCAGGTCTGGCCTCCTTGCCCCATCCTGATGAGCGGTAACAAGCAGCCAAAGTAAACTGGGATGGCCATGAAGCAGGAGAGCAAGAAAACCAGAGAGAATGAATGTTTTTGAGAGGCGGAGGAAGGAAAACCAGAATGGAAACGAAAGGGGAGGCAGGAACGGCCCGTGGGTGGTTCCAGTCTATATCTATCTCCAGGAAGGGGTGGATGGAGAGGAGCCCTCCACTCCCTCCCTGCTCAAGAAGGGCTGCTGCAAAGGATACAATATGAGGATCACCTGGATGGCTGCTCCAAAAGAACCAAAGACAGAAAAGGAGACTTTTCCTAACGGTGCATCCTGTGAAGGAAGACAAATGAGAAAGACAAGCGATGCCACACTGAGGAGAGGAGGAGGAGGAGGAGCTGGAAATGCACTGCCCTGAGGGGCCAGCTTGGCCCCCTGCCGGTTCTCCTTCCCTCACGTGGCAAGGCTTCAAGGGCATCAGGGCACTGCCTGCAGACAGGAGGGGCGAGGGTAGCCCACCAGATGCTGCTGGATGGCAACGCCCCATGACCTCTTACCATTTGACCTATGAGCTAAGGCTGATGGGAGATATACCTTAACAACATCTGGAGGGCCGCATCCTGTCCACCCTCTGGTGCAGACAAATGCCCAGTGAAATCCCAGCGATAAAGAGGCTGAGTAACTGTGTCAGAGGCAGGCTTTAAGTGCCTCTTTGGCTCTTGGCACTCTCAGACAGACAGCAGAATCGGAACATACAGCTTGTACGAGGAATACAAGAAGATGCCATATCCACTGGAGGAGGCCACCCCTCTAGGGTGGGAGGGCTCTCCAAGGTTGCCGGGGACGTTTTTCCCCTTGCCCTACCTGCAAAGCAGGTGCTGTGCCCCACTGCGCCACTCAGCTAGCCTCTCCTGCTCTCTCCCTCACTTCCTGCCCCCTCAAAACCTGTTCTAGAAGAATGGAACCCCTTCAAGAACACATTTTGGAGTGGGCGAGGGGGCTGCAGGGCAGATGAGGGGAGGTAAAACCCCACTGCACAAGCTGAAGTCTGCACTGTCGGATCCCATTTTAAGCGAACCAGCTTCTTTTGAAGGGGACTTTATTTCACCGTCCGAAGACCTGTACAGTTTCTTGGGCACAAGCTTGATTTTATTTTACATGGAGTCCTAACACAGATTTGGAGGCCCACAAGACTCTGTTTTTCAATTTATCAGCTAAGCATCACAAGCCTTTGTTTTTCACGTAAATGTTATGAATAGGAGAATAAATGCTTTGGGGCATTAAACAATTCAGCCAGGGCACACAGAGTGTCAGGGGGCGGGGTGAGGGGGGGAGCAGGGAGAGAAAATGGGTTGGAGAAAGTTCTCATGCAGTCTAGGACCAAACAGACCACAGGGGCTTCCACTTGTCTGACCTGGATTCCTCGTGGCATGGCAGCATCATCCAACAGCAGCTCCAAGACATGGAAGCAGACCACAAGGACAGAGATACCCTGGGGATGGTAAATATGGGGGGGTGGGGGTGGGGAGAAAGAGACCTTGTCAATCTCAGCCTTATAAAGCACAAGAGAAACCATGCAGAGCTTGAAAAAAGCACCACCTCTTTTGAGGCACCTTTTAAGTCAGAATGTCAAGCCAAAATTTACAAGATAAGAGACGCTGGAGGATTTTAGGGACAAAGAAGAAATCACCTGTGGAATCAATGAACACCGTCCCCCTCTGGGCTTCTTTTCCCTTAAGGCCAAATTACAGACCAACCAAATTCCTCCCCCTGAACAAGAAAGTCAGCAGGGAGGCTGGGAAGGGCTTCCTGGTTATGCTGATGAGGGCAGGGGTGCTGATCCTGGCACAGAATCCTCCAAGCTCTGGCCAGAGAGGGTGATGGCAGAAAGCGGTTCCCTGATTGAATATATAGCAAGATGAAACCTCCCCGTGGTTGTTTTCAGATATCTGTCTGCACAACAATGGGAGGCCAACTGGCTAAAATCAAAGGAGAACATACCACTCCCTCCCCCCAACATTTTATAGACTGCAAGTGGCACAGTCCCTCACCCTCCAGCTATGCTGGCTAAGGCCCATGGGAGTTTTAGGTGCAAAACATCTGGAATGCCATGGCTGGGCAGCCCGGGGTGGCCTTATGCCAGCCATTGTCCCCATTCAGACCCAAGAAGAATAGCAATCTCCCCCCCCCCGCCCCTGCCGCCACCACCACCCACGGTCCAGCTCCAGCACTTACGGTCAGCAGCAGTAACGACAGCATGGCCAGCGGGTAGCCCAGGTTCCGTTGCCAAGCCGAGGCCGTGCGGCGCGTTTCTGCCCAAAACAAAAGCCACAGAAGCCGGAGGTGAACTACCAGAAGGTGTGCGGGTTGGGGGGGGGCAGTTTGGGTACGCCAACACAGCTCCTTCTCCCAACTTCAGAGCTGGCAGAAGACGTGTTATTTCCCACAGGAACAATTATACCGGCTTGTTCCATCTGCACAATTTATCTAAGCACTGGAGTTGAACTTTTCTTGGTCTAAAAGTGGATTTTTAAAAAATTTGTTATCATTATTATTTTACTGCAGAATAGGCACAGGCACCAGAAAAGGAGACAACCTGTGCTTTAATAAAACAACGGGGACAGCCTGTAGGGTCCCAGATTTCACACGAAGAGGATTTCCTAGGTCAGCCTTGGGCCTTCCAGATCTGTGTGGCCACCTCTCTCCTCGTCCCTTGCCAGCAGGCACCACGCTGGCAGGGAAGGCTTGGGGTCGTTCTCCAACACACTGGGAGGGCACCACAGCTCAGTAAAGGCTGACCCACTTGAAGAGAAGAGTGAATGCACCCCACTCCCTTTTTGCACTTACCCAGAGTTATCCTGTGGGCATGAATTGCTAGATATTGTTGCCTCAGGACTTCCATATCAAACTTGAGCCAGCAGGAGGTTTTCCCTGTGGAATGAAGATGGGGGGGGAGCAGGTGGGGATCAAGGGTTGGCTTAACCTCACTGGATACCCAATCCAGCCCAGCCAAGCGCCCACTCCATCGGTTGGCCGCTTACCAGAGTTGATCTTCCGGGAAACAGCAGCTTCTTCGAACTTTGTGCAGCTGAGCTGCTCATCGAGATCCTCCAAAAGCTGCCAAGTGAGAAACGGAGAAGAAAATATAGGAAACCACAGCCTTCACTGCCACCTCCCCGGCCCATCTTAACCCCAACGTGGAGAGAGATCTGCTCATTTTTCCCTCCTCTTCATATAAATCATTCTGACAAGGCTGAGCTAAGGGCAGGGGGCTAATGGCAGCCCTTTTCCGAGGTGTCCTAGATCACAGCACTCTTGCTGAATACCTCTCTCTTGTGCTGCCCTCCTGAAAAGCTTTTGAGACCTCACCAGATAAAGCATGCCCACCCTCAAGGGTATTTTATTCAGCCACAAAGCTGGAATTTCCCTCCTTCGTCTCTGTGGAGGCAGAGCTTGAACATTCTGCAAACCATGTAGGCACCTCATAGCAGCAGTTTCCCCAGTTATTGGGCTGCTGCTTTGATGTGCAGCTGGCTGGTCCTCTTCCTGGGTAGCATCCAAGAGATGCCAAAGGCAACACAGCCCTTCCCGGTCCTGCCTCCTCTTGGATGGCCGGCGCTGTGCTGGACAACAGAGAGCTTGCTTAAGGTGGTCTCCCGACACCCCTCTTGCTGTGCTTGATGCTGGTTCAAAGCCAAAAGCCATACTAGCTTGGGCTTCTGAGATGCAGCCCTCTTGCTGAAGGTAAGCAGGTCTAGGTCGTCAAGTCAGGGCATGGGTGGGAGACTGCTTCAGAATCGCATGCGTACCATCTTAACCTCCATCACAGGGAAGAAAGGCAGGCTGGAGAGATACATAAAAAGCCCCCCCCCCAAGCTACCTACTGGACAGCAGTCTTACTTCCACACCAATGGCACCTTCTGTTAGCCAGTTGAGTCCAGGCAAGAGTTTGTAAGCTTTTGACCCTTCAGATATTGCTGGACTCCAATTCCCACCAGCCCCACATAGAATGGGCCCCAGAGAATGATCACGGAGAGCCGTCCTTTACCAGTATCTGGGAAGCTGCACGTTCCCGCATCTTTATCTAGACCAGTGGCTGCCCACCTTGCGTCCCCAGGCATTCTTCAACGACAACTCTCAGAAATCCTGGCCATCACCGGTGGTGGTGAAAGCTTCTGGGAGTTGTAGTCCAAGAACATCTGGGGAACCAACATTGGGAGTCACCGATTTAGACTACAGTATTCCTGGTTCCTGCTACTTGTCTTGCCATTCCTCTTTCCTAGCTATGCCAGCGTGATGGGGTAAGCATGGTGCCCCCGACCCTCATCTTTGCATTATTCCTGGCAAGTTGTGATCTTACCCTGGGCTTCACCAGCAGCGTCCCCGTAACAGTGAACATACGTGACAGACCAAAGGGTGTGCACACTGTGGAGGTTCAGAGAGAGATTGAGAGAGAGAGAGAGAGAGAGAGAGAGGAGGAGATAAAATTGGACATCAGCATCCGTTAAGACCCCATTTGCCAGCAGGGGGCACCACAGTCCATATTCAAGAAAGAGATGCTCACATAGGCGCTGCCAGATCAGCAAAACAACCCGGCCGTTTCCCTTGCAGACTAACCAGGTCAAACGCAGAACAGCTTCCAAACCCAATTACAGCTCTGGGAACACTGCAGAATCAGAGCAGTCCGAGTACTCAAATTGTCACATTTTGCAGTAGAAGGGCTCTTTAAAGGGTCACTATGATCTCTGCCCTTTTGATTAACATGACTTTTTGGAACGTCAAAAAGGCCTGAATTCGAGGCAGCTTCAAAAACAGTTTGTCCTGAAAGACACACCCTGATTTGATGGCTACACCATGTTGTTGGCTGAACACCATGCTAAACAAAAGACAGTTTGGAAAAAGGTGTGGTTTTTTTTTACACACATACCACTCCAAAAAGAATCTTTTCTAAGCGGAGAGATTCCGTAGACATGTTACTTTCCCTTTAAATTTGTTACCAGTGGGAGGTTTTTTTTGTTTTTGTTTTTTAAAAATCCTTTTCCAAATCCTGCAGTCTGTTGGCGGCAAGAAAATATTTCTCCTTCTCAAATTGCTCTGAATTTTTTTTGTCCATTTGTTTTCTAAGCAGAGTTATATACAAAAGCATCTGTGAATCACATCCACCCAAAGCATGCTATCTCTGTGTTCAAGCCATACCATATCCCCCCCCCCCGGACCATACTAGAAAATTGAATTTATATCGCTGGATGTGGTTGCAGACAGGAAATGCAACGGTCTGGCTCAGCAATTTAGAAAACGAATGGAGCGGCTATCTTCCTTTCTCTCAACATTCAGTGTTTACTCATATCACAACCACTCTTCACAAAGGCATAAAAAGTTGGGGGGGGGAGCTCCTGATCATATGTAAGAGAAAAGGGCTGAGGCAGGGCTTTCACCTTCGCAGGACAAAAGGTTCCTCCCCCGCTCCCCACTGTCGCCACATGGCATACATCGCAGCAGTCAAGATTCCCCCAACTGCTGCAGCTAGAGATTTTGAATTGTATCTCACAGGTAGAGCGCACACGCTGCACAGAGAAAATGGCCAATTCACTCTCTCCTATTTTCTGCTAAAAGGATCAAAGAGCAGGAGATTAAGAAAGATCCCTCTCTACTCAGATTGCTGCAAGGAGGCTGAACAGACTAGGCATTGGGTACCCTTGACTTTTCCAGATCTTGCTGGACTGCAGCTCCCATCATCCCCCACCAGCTACGCCAGCAGGGGCTGACTGTGGCTGCAGTCCAACAACATCTAGAAAGCCACCACTTCTGGGAGAGGAGACGGTGCTGAGTTAAACCGGCAGGCACGCAACCCGTCACAAGATGGCTTCCTAGGCAAGAGATGGTCAGCAGGTCTCACTAACAAAAATCAACAATGGCCATTAGAGTTTCAGCCCGTTCGCACTTTGTGATCACCTCTCATTTGAAGGCTGGTGGAAACAAAAAATCCAGAAGTTCATTATCCAAGAGCAACACGCACGCGCGCACGCACGCACGCACGCACACACACACACACACACACACACACACACACACACACACACACACACACACACACACACTCTCTCCCTTCAAATTTGGGAGTCCTTCTAACCTTCTGTCTGAAGCTCCAGCCCGGCCTGGAGCGTTCCCTCCTGCTCACCCTTTCCTGGCATCCCAATGAAGAGCAATGCAAAAGCCAATCAACTTACACAAGAGCAGCAGCACACCAAACAGGGAGATGCCAGAGTAGAGGTAGGGGAGGTAGTACTCCCAGAGGTCTGCAGGTTGAAAGAAACACATCAGATTGATTAAAAGGGGAGGCGGGAATGCACATTTATGATATAAACAGGTGTTCTCAACTTTCCGCTTAGCTACCAGGCTGGATTTATGGCATCCCATTGGAAAGGCTGGATGGATGTTACCATTTCCCACTGGTATGCATACCAAAGGCTGGTATAGCAGGACCCCATCGCCATCTGCTGGGCTGGTACCCATGGTTTCACTTTCCCGCGGTCGACTGCAACACTATGTACAACATACAAAGGCTCCCTCTTGTGACCCCCTCTGTCCCACCTCCTTCTATGTTATATGTAGGGTTCCTACACACGACGTGGTTTCAGGGATCCAAGGCAGATCACAGAACCGATCCCTTGCAGATGCCGGGGATCCTACTGTCTTTTGCACTTACAGGAAAGACAACCGCTCAAGTCCAGACTCTACGAGGAACTGGTGACAGCACACAATTTTGCAAAACCTGACAACCATTTACAAACTTTGTAGACTCAAATGAAGGGGTTATATCTCCCCCACCCCTCATCATACACTGATATATTCAAATGAGCACAACGAATTGTTACTCAACGGGCCGAAACCCTCTCATGCAACTTTACACCACGTAGGAGGATTCCAGCCTTTGTAATCCTTTTATCTCACCCTGTAAGGTTTGTTATTTTATGAATTGGATGTTATTGTAGATAACACTGTATGATAAATTACTGTATTTTTTGCACCATAAGACATGCTTTTTCACCCAAAAACATTGGGGGGAAAGTGTATGCGTCTTATGGAGCGAATACTGTCCCCTCCACGCCACTATCACTGGCTTCTGAGGCTTCTGGAGGCCTCCGAAGGCCATGCGGGGGTCTCCCCCGCCACCATCGCTGGCTGCTGGCTTCTCCTCCAGGAGGCTTTGGACCGGTAAGGTGCTGCTTTTTACTTTTTTTAAAAAATGTTCTGGGTGGGTTTTGGAGGGTAGATTTGGGCTGGGGGTATGTTTCTATGTTGCTTTGTTTTTTTGGTAATTTTTTTTCAGTCCCAGCATGGGACTTGCTCTGTTTATTTATTTTTATTTTATTTTTTGGTATTTAAAAATTAGGTGCTGCTTTTTACTTTTTAAAAAATGTTCTGGGTGGGTTTTGGAGGGTAGATTTGGGCTGGGGGGGTATGTTTCTATGTTGCTTTGTTTTTTGGTGATTTTTTTTTTGCAGTCCCAGTGTGGGATTTGCTCTGTTTATTTATTTTTATTTTAAATTTAAAAATACGGTGCATCTTATGGAGGAAAAAAATACGGTAATTAAAGGTCTTTTTTAAAAAAAGAAACAAACATGTTGGCATGACGCAGCAGAAAGAACAGTAGGCCTACAGAAGCTGAGGGAATTCAAATCCCCTTTTCAGGAGCAGAGAATAATCCCACCATTCTACTTTCCCCTGAATTTGTTTTAAAGGAAAGAAGACCATGTGGCACAATCCAGAGGTCCCAGTGGTCCAGCCCATTCTTCTATGGCAGCCTTTTGCTAACAAACACCAATCCAACCATAATGGAATATTATCACCCTCATCAGAAAGAGGGTGGGGTGATGGGAGTTGTAGTTGACCACATTTGGAGGAGTGCCAGGTTGGGGAAAGCTCCTTCTGGCTGTGTTGCTTGAATCAAAGGAGAAAATGGAATCTCATCACATTCCACATAAAGAAGCAAACGGGCAGTTAAATTTTGCTCCAGCACTAGTTGTGGTAGGAAACCTCCCACCACATGAGGACAGGAGACTATTTGGGAGGGGGGGTGTCATTTTCCAACAGAGAGAAACAGCCAGATCTCGGCTGAGGTGGGCCGGTTTTTGTCATCTCCCAGCCTAGGCCACTTGAGGCTGTTCCTCCAGACTGCCCAACGACAGGGCAAGCTGATCACTCACCATAGAGAGACTCCCTGCTGGTGGCATCGTCGTCCAAGATGGCAGACGCAACCCAGACCATTCCAAGTATTAGGAGTGTCAACAACAGCAGCACCACAAATGTTTCATAGACACGGGCCATGATCCCCTGGAGAGATTAAACAAGGAGAGTAAAGAAGGGGTTAATTCATCCACACACACCCAAACTGAGAGCAGTTAGGGAAGAGTAGATGTCTGAGGAGCAGCTGGTACCTTCTTTGAGCCCGCAAAACCTTCGGACTCCGTGAAGAAGTAGGCAAAGGGCATGAGGAAGACCAAGGAGAGGTTGGAGAAAAGGAAGACAAGGTTCCAGAGTCCTAAGAAGAAAGTGAGAGGAACAGATTTAAACAGAGGCACATATCTGGGCTAAGCTCCTACTGGAGCTGCCCCTGTTCCTGCCCGGCCAGTTCTAGAGGCCCCTCCGCTCCCACAACTAGAGACAGCATCCACAACGCCCACCCAGCCCAGCCACCTGGGCCCCATGCCATTCACTCAGAGCTGGACCCCCCCCACCTGCTATGTTCACTTCCAAATTATTACCAGGCACCTTTTCATATTCTTGGAAGCTGGAATACTCTCCCTGAAACAATGGACAGGTCAGTACTGAAAATATACTTGCTAATTACTGTACTTGGGATTACCAACTTGCACCATTTCTGTGCTGGCTCCACAGAACATACACCAAATCCCAAGCGGCCCAGGTTCCAGACCTAAACATACTGACATGGCTCTCATCAGGCTCAACCGGTCCTGTGCCAGTTGGAGGGCTCTGATGTCGTTTATGTTTTCAAGACAGCAAAGGTAGCCCAGCATATCTCCACTGACTTGAAGGGCACAGCACACTCCCGAGGAGGGGTTCCCCCCTGGGAAGGGTTCCCCCCTGAAAACCACCAAGTATCATGCGTGTATCAGCTTGCACCCTACAGAAGAATACTGTTCTGAGCATGAGATCAGCTTCATGCCTACATAAGGCTTTGATGCTTGCCAAAGACTTGTTTTTTCCCCCAATTAACCCTTCCTGACCAAAAAAAAAAAAAAATCAAATTCCATCCAGTTTTATGTACTGTATATGATTCTCTTTACTTTTTACTGAAACGTTTTCAGTCTTGTTTTAAACTACAGTAACACCATTAATTTTTTTTTTTTACATGGAGTGGCTTATAATTGATAAATAGTATATTTTTAAACCTGCCTTTCTTCATTTGGTAATAAGTGCTGGAACACAGCTAGAGTGGTATTTTAAAAGGATGAGGGCAGCTTAGCTTAGGGACAGACAGCTCCAAAAGGTGGAAGAGCTCCTTCATAGAACTGCAGTTTAAAAAACAGCAACCTTATTGAGCTGTTCTCTACTTCCCCATCAAAAAAAAAACCTATTCGAAACTGGATTGTTAAAAGCTTGATGTAGGTACTAGAGGCCAAGTCATTGTATTTTCACTGTAATGGAATGTATCAGGAGGGGGAGATGTGCACCCCAATTCCCACCACCCTCAGACAGCACATGAGGATGGATGATGGGGATTGTAATCCACCAGCATCTGAAGGGGCCGTAAGTTATCCACCTCGATTTAATGCATTCGGTAAATTTTATTCCTGGCTACTACTGAAGAGCCGCTTGAATCCTGCAGCTCCCCCACATCCCTCTGCCCTTGTAAGCAGAACAGATTTTGCTTCTCCAGCACAAGGGGGCTTCTCACCAAAGCCCTCACCTGCGGACGCAGACCCCCATAGCTCACCGTGGATGAGGGAGCCGTTCAACCACTGGATGTAGTAGTTCTGCGGAAAGGAGAGCAGCACTTCATTGCTGATGATGGAGAAAGGCAGGAGGAGGACAGCCCCTAGGGACACCGCCAAGGTGAAGGTGCACAGCCACAACCTGAGAAAGAGAGCAACGAAGGGATGGGCCGGGGGCCTCTGGTCAGTGCCTCCCCTCCAAACTCCCTTCTCCCAGAAAGAAAGAAAGAAAGAAAGAAAGAAAGAAGGAAAGAAGGGAGGAAGGCCACCTTCTGCAGAGCCACAGTGGGGGAAAAATATCCTTCCTATCGGAGACTCCCTAAACTTCCGCGCCTCAAAATAATGGGGGGGGGGATTGTGGTGGTGGTGGCGGTGTGTGTGTGTGTGCGCACATGCATGTACATACACAGGCACTCCCACACACCTTAGCCCAAGAGCGTCTAAGATCTGAAGAATGTGGGCAACCATTCTTTGAATTCTTTAGGGACCATTAACATTTTCAGCAATTAAATACAATCCCATTCCCTAGAACTGCTGCCTGTATTTAAAGGAACACATTTACATCCACACTTCGGAAAGTTATTTGTTGCAGCAATGACTCCCAGAATCCCAAGTCAATATGGAAATGTTGGGAATTGCAGTTTGGTGTGTGTGTGTGTGTGTGTGTGTGTGTGTGTGTGTGTGTGTGTGTGCGCGCGCGCGCGTGTGTGCGTGTGATGGCTTCCCCTGGCTACTTATTCCTCTTTTCCATATCCTCAAAGAGTATTTTGAGCACACTGTTCCACTCGCCTCCCTAAATGCAGAGAGACAGAGGCATGAAGGGGGGGGTGGAAGAGACTGGCTGCACTTCCACTGGCTTTTTCAGTCTTATTTTTACCTCAGCTTTAAAACAGTCTGACAAAACCATCAATGGCAAAATACGGCAATGAGATAAAGCAGGAGGGGAAGAGAGAGGGGGAAAGGATGTTAAAGAGTCAGCAGCAGAGAAAGGGAAGGGAAGGAACTTACGCAATTCTGTTGACAGCAGCATCTTCATCAACTAAGAAAGAGGAAAAACATCATTATTGCTACATTCATATCCCAGGGTGCTTAAGTTGGGGGCATACATGGCAGCCTCACCCCCTATATTTATTTTCCCAAATGTATTATAGAGGGAGGGGACAATTATTTTCTCTGAACCCGACCTATGGTTTTTGGAAGGAACTTACGCAATTCTGTTGACAGCAGCATCTTCATCAACTAAGAAAGAGGAAAAACATCATTATTGCTACATTCATATCCCAGGGTGCTTAAGTTGGGGGCATACATGGCAGCCTCACCCCCTATATTTATTTTCCCAAATGTATTATAGAGGGAGGGGACAATTATTTTCTCTGAACCCGACCTATGGTTTTTATTTACAGTACAGTCCATTTATATTGACAAATTATTTTTTTTAATTATTGGTTATATATACATCCCAAATTTCTTTGCAATAAACCCAAGGTACTTCTTCCCAGTTTATCTTTAAAACCACGCCCTATGAGATAAGCCATTCTGAAATACTACAATGGGCCCAATGTCATCCAACAGGTTTCACAGTCAAAGAAGGTTTTGAACCTAGTTCAACACTCTCATCCCAGCCCTGTCCTTTATGGCCAAGCAGGTAATTGAACACCAGTCTCTCCCGCTATTGCTAAACAAGAGTGCCTTGCAGATTAGGCTTGTATTATAAGCAGATCTGCAACATGGCTGGAAAAAGCATGGGAAGTCATTTTGGTTGTAGCGCAAGTTTGGGGAAAAGGTGACCTTCCAATATTATAGGACTACAGTGTCCATCAGCCAATGGCGAGGGATGCTGAGAGCAGCAGTCCAAGGGCAGACACCTGGAAGGCTCCAGTCCTAGGATGGAGCAAAGGTAGATAGAGCTCAACCGGGAAGCCTTCAAATAATGCATTTTCCATGCAGGTCTCTCCAGATCACTCCGCAAGCAAGGATAAGCGCCAAGCCCTTTGTGTGGCCCTTCTGGAGAACAAGCTGACTTCTGTGCAAGTCCTTGCTACAGGATCAGAATGGTACTGTCGCTAAAACACACAGCAGTCCCATAAAAGAATGGTGGTGGAAGCAGGAGAGAGAAGTTCTTGGGATCAGCAAAATCTGTTGCTTCGTGGTCACAAACAATCAGGAATAGAAAAGTGAGAGGCTTGTGTAGAGGATTGGGACTGACCCCCAGGAAAGACTCATTAACTACAAGGGACCCATTTTATGAAGACAAAGATCCTAATACTAGAATATTATGCAACCAGCATAATCCTCTGGTTGCTTTAACTGGACGGCAGTCCTTTAAATGGGAAAGGGTGGAACAATCACCCTTTTCACCCTGTTCTGCAGCAGTGTTAAGTCCTTCAGAGAGCAGATGGTCTCCTCAGTATCCATGCCAACTACAAGGCACACACAGTGGACACCTGGCTTCCCACACAGTGGCCAATATCCTATTGCTTAGCCTAGTAAACTGTGTTAGAGTCGATGCATTGAATCAATGGAGATGTGGTGAGTCAACTCCTTCATACGTTCCACTGATTCAATGGGCCTAATCTTTGTGTGTTACTACTACACTAAGCAACAGGATTTTTAGCCCCCGTAGGGCTCACTTTCCCAGCCTAGTGAGCTCCAGATGTGTTGAACTGTGGAGGCTTCGGGGAGCCACAGTCCCGTATCTACAAGGCATCAAGTGGCAAGTGGAGTCTGGCATAAAGGAAGAGAGGTGTACTCTGTCTTCTCTGTGTCTGGCAGCCTGGTGCTTCCCCATCCCAGTGCTACATTTTGACTCCTTTAGGGAAACCATGAATTTGTGAGGCTTCCAGCCCTGAAGGGATTTGGTGCAAGGCAGTAATACTATCAGGAGAATAGCATTTGTTCCGCAATAAAAATTTAAACATGAGCAATTTTTGATTAAAATTACCCCCGTGTCATCACTTCTACAGCCAACATTCCTTTTGACCAGAGTGAAGGAAGCTGCGGCCCCTCAGATGTGGATGGGATCCAACCCCCCCAGTCGCCTTAACCAACACAACTAAGGGTGAAGGATGCTGGAAACCATTGTTCAAAACAGCAATTAGGGCGACAGTTTCCCACCCGCGCGTTGACTATTTCCATGCTGAAACTCAGCCTTCTGGCAGAGAATCTTCTACGCACACAAAGCGCAGGACTTTTTCCGTAGCAGCTCCCTTGTTGTGAAAGCGTCTTCCCTCAACCCCGCAACATACTTTGTGCCTGAGAAGCTGTTTCCAGCCAGAAATTGCTGAACCAGTTCATGTCTTATTTGAAGATTAGAGAAGGCTCACAAAGAATGCTGTTCCCACATTGCCTAGGCCAACGGCTGCCAAGGCAACTAATGCTAACAGCAACAAACTGCCATTTGAAGGAAAAAGGCCTTTCCACAGGGGCTGGCTGGCTTGTTCACTCACTCACTCACTCACTCACACACACACACACACACACACAGAGAGAGAGAGAGAGAGAGAGAGAGAGAGAGAGACTTTATATATTGCTCCTTCTCTCATATATATATACATGAGAGCAAGAGAGCAAGAAAGCAAAGCTGCTGCAATAATGCCAGACTCTGGGGAACCATGGCTTCTCCAGGGCCAAACCACCTGGGGAAGAGATATTTGTTTCTGGTAGTTTCTAACTTCTGCACAGAAGTCAACACATGATAAAGCCCAACGGAGCTTATTTTGAGTGCACTGAGGGACAGCTAGCAGATTCTCTCTCTGTCTCTCCTTTGTAAACATTGTCAACACTGTCCTTGAAGCAGGGAAGGGGTTGCCACAGACTGGGCTTTGTTGTCGTTTGCAAGCCAAACAGTCTTAGATAGGAAGCCCTGGTGTAACACTGGTATACTTGGCAGGGAGGAGAAGGGGGCGTTCTCTTTAAGGCAGAAAGGAAGAAGGCAAGCAGAGTGGCCTGGGTTTTTGTGTTGGGGACCGACTGAGATCCTCATGATCTAGCAAGAAGGAGAGAAACATTTTGGGGGGTGGGTGGGATGGGGCTGGGGTTGGGATTCAGTATAACTGCTTAAATGTTTGCCACAGCCAGGAGTCCTGGCCCAAGATAGGCAGGACTGAAAATATAGTGGGTAGAAGCTATATTCACTTCTGCTGCCTAGTTCTGTGAGCAAACCACTCTGAAATGAGGAAGAGAATCCTAGCTTGTTGATACTCACAGTACACTTTTTTAACCAGAGTGGATTTGATTTAAATCACATTTTAAATCATGATTTATTTTTTTTAAATCAGATTTTCAACAATTTAATTTTTTTTAATTATTTTTATTTAAACCATTATTTGAATCAACTTGATTTTTAAACATCATGATTTTCAACAATTTAAATTTTTAAAAAAATCATTTTTATTTAAACCATGATTTGAATCAACTTGATTTTTAAACATCATTTTTTTAAAAATCCACCCTGTTTTCAACCGGAGTCTTTTCTCTTGGCAGCTTCCCTAGCAAAGCCAAATGTGCAATGTAGAAATCTATGTTAACGAGAAAAGTTGGGACCCGTTCATACAGGATCCTGCCTTCTCCCCCACTTACCTGTGGTGAAGTCTGTGTGTCTCTTGAAGCGGGTTAAGATGAAGTAACACAGGATGTAGAGGCTGGCAAACAGAAGAGCACAGATCTGCAGGAAGACAAAGAGGCACGTGTCAGCAGTCCCAGAAAGAAGCTAAACGCTCAACTACCCCACTGGCAGATATATGGACAGGCAAACCATCTCAAGCACACCCAGTGTGTCACATGAATTCCAATCAGATCTTAATAAAGCTATAGACGTGTGCGTGGAGAGAGACAGAGACTGTAATTCTAGAATCTAGCCAGCCAGGTGGTTTTCTAAGCTCTGGTTTCAAGAGACCACTGATATGTTCTTCTCTTTCTCATTACCAGCTGAAAACACCATGTCCCCTTTAGAACCCACCATATTTCAAGTACTCCATTGTTAATGTCACCGAAAATAAATCTTGATGGGATTTCATATGACTGGAAGTTGAAGCACTTCCTCCCCAGTTTTACCAGGGTTATTCACTATGCACTTTTTCAAGTACCAATTTAAAAAGTACGGCCAGAACAGTATGATCCAGAAGCTGCCTGCGCCAAAAGGAGGATGCTGTTGTTTTAAGGGAAAGAACTGCCATCATTTCCTACTGGATGTAAACATGTAGGCTAGGATCCAAGAAAAAAAAAAAACACCTTGAGGATGAGGTGATGACAGTGATGAGAACGGTAGGCATAAGCTACCAAATGTAGAGGGTCTCCTGGTAGGAACAGTCCAGGAATCGTGGGTATTTCAGGAGAACAGATGTTTAGAACCACATTTTGGGTGGCAAGGGACAATCATAAAATGGGAAAGATAGTAGAGAGAAAGGGAGGAAAACAGGAGGAAATAGTCAAGGCTGTTCTCAAGTGACCATAAACTGCAGCAAACCACCTCTCTGGCCTATAATCTCTGTTTGCAATCTATGCTTAGAAGCCATTCTACCATTAAGCCTCCAAGTGATAAAACAGATGAACCCCTGTAATCCTCATTTATTTCCCAGAACAGATGCCAAACCTCCCTCTCCTTACCCACAAATCCCAGCTTATTCCACTCCCAGCCCATTTATAGTACCCAGGATTTCAAAAGCAAGGGAAGAAATTCATCTTTTAAATTCATTATGAAAGGAGAGATTTATGGGAAGAGATTAGATGGGTTGTGCTTTAACTCTATCAGAACATGCTTTCAATTGAGGTCACAGCTGTTTCAGCCACAGCATAGCCTTGCACAGTAACCTACTTTCTTTGTTTTAGAAAAAGGTATACCGCCTTCTTCAATGTATTTGCATGGCACAGGCTTAGGTTAAAGACAACCAAGTGACATTTGGAATAAAGATCCCATGTTCTATTCATCAGCATAAGTGCACCGACAGGAGAACAAGGCAAGGATAACTCTGAGAATTAGCCTGTTTGCCTGCCACTTCCTATGAACATGGCAAACAGTCCACCTTCCTCCTGCCCAATTCAGGGTGAACATTAAATTGGCAACACAAGACTGTGATCTCAAGGTCTAAGCAAGGAAGAGGCCATTTAATGTTCTTGCTGGGCAGGGCAGGGCCTGGCAGTATTGACAAATCAAGCCGCTTTTCATTGAGAAGCTCTCTCTTGCTCTCTCACTGACATATTCCCAACCCCTTAAAAAAAAAAGAAAGGACATGAATGAAGTAATCTATTATTTGTCAACAAAGGTTTGCAGGATATAAAGTGACATGGTTAAAAACAATAGAACGGCTTTAAAGCAGAGGATTTTTGTACAAATGCTACAGTCAGAATCCTGTTGCTTAGCGTAAGCCAAAGAATTGCTTTGGGTCCATTTCTCCCTGACAAACAAAGTATCCCCACTGCAGTTCTTGGGGTGTGCACATGGACACACCAAGCCAGCGTATGCACGCCTGAGAATCATGGCAGGGACGGGTTGTTTGCTAGAGGGAAATGGGTCAAAAGTTACAATTTGTTTTATGCGAAGCGGCAGGATTTTGATCAGTATGTGTGAACCCAGCATAAAGAGGAACTCCCCGGACCATCTTGGACAATCACATACGAATGTGAATTCCATCTTGGGAGTGCTGGTTCTGCTGTAGTCCTCCAAAAGCACCAGCTATACACAAGAGGAAAATATGAACAGCCCTGGGAGCAACAGCAACAACGGTAAGCTTCTGCAAGAGAAAGAGCAAGGACTGGGCAATTTCAGTGAACACAGAATGTTTGTTGTTGCAGCTGACACCACTAACAAGAAAAACCTGGGTTGGAATAAGAAAGAAATGGAGTGGCTGAGACCTTGAACTGGTCTTGTTTTCTTCAAAGTATTAACAACTGCACGTCAAATTCCAGAATCAGGCAAACAGGTATCTTTCTGAATGATTTGGACTCCAGATCTCATCATCTCCCACTGGTCCTGCCAGCTTGGACTGTTGAGAGTTGGAATCAAAATATATGCAGGCTCAGACTGTCAGCACTAGAACTACCTATTGGAAAGCAATTTCATAACAAGCGCTGAGAGATGGTCAGCAGCACTTTCACCAGTCTTTTGTAGATCTTAGCAATTGGGGTGAAAATCCTGGGTTCCCCTCTCTAGAGTGAGAGTGCTGAGGGCACATCCAGACACAAAAATGGGCCCACCATAACCCCCTCTGTTCTTTATAGAGGGATGTGGGACTTCGCTGGCATTTGTGCCCAGACAAGGCAGCACAGTCCCGCATGAGTGGGAAAGAGTGCAGGACCCAAGCCAGCTCCCGTCGTGCCTTAAAGAGGCACCTGGGTAAAAGCAACCAAAGATGAGGAGGAAAGGAGGCAGCGGGAGGGGCAGGCACGAGGGAGGAGAAAAAGGCAAGGTACGTTGTCATACAAGGACCACGGGCGAAACTGAGGGCAAGGGGGCAGCCCCAGCAGGTGACTCAGCCAAGCTTCGGAACAAAGGCTCCATCTGAATGAGATCTGAAGAGAACAACTGATAGAAAAGAAGCCAGACCCACAGAAAATGATGATGGGGGCTTGTCCAACTTTCTAAAGCATGCCAGCTAAAGATTTAAAACCTGTCAGCCAAAACAAAAACTCTAGACTTGCATCAGATCTCAAGAGAAGTGGAATAATAAGCACCTGAGGGAGCAGCGTCAGTGGCACAGGATAATCCAGGTTAGATGTGTGGGACGGTTACGTAAGTGAAGCGTTTCAAGTTTTTTATATCTTTAATTGTTGCTGTCATTAAAATCATGTTTCTAGTCCTTAGTCATACAGAGTAAAAGAATCTGGACAGCAGACATACAAAGGGAAAGAAGTAAAGAGATTGTCAAGAACCACTTTTAGAGACCAAGAAAGAGCTTGGATATGTGACTTTTTTGGACCACAATTCCCAGAAGCCACCTTGACATCCCAAGCTCTGTAGAAACTAGGAGACGAGCACTGTAGAGTTCAGACTCTTTCAGACCTGCAGGGCAGGAAAGGGCCCTATGGATCATGAAGCCCAGCCCCTGTCACAGTGGGAATCCAAATCCCAGCCTCTGGCTGCGCAACCAGATATCTCAACCACTGAGCTATCAAGCCATAGCAGTCACTCCCTTCAATTGTTAATCTCTCATATCCCCAACCATGGGACTCCTGCTTTATATAGACAATCCTTTCCCCCTCCAAAATGTTGTTCCACAAAACACCAAAGGGAAATGGGTGTGCCGGTCCTTCTAAGCCACCTGACATCCTGCGCTTTGTAGGCTGGATTTTCCTGCCTGAGAGGTGGCGTGGCAGAGGGCTTTGTAGCACAGCAGGCTAAGTTGGCTGCATTATTTCACATCTTGCAAAATATGCCCTACAGTTAACGTTTCAGAGTGGAAAGGAAGGAAACACATCTATCCAAAACAAATCCATTTAGGCAGCCCTTCCAGTCGACTTCCTCAACAACAAACTAGGCACCTGGTCAAAAGGCCCCTGACAAAGAAAGGGCAAAGCTGTGGAAAAATCTTTGCAACCTCATAACATAACAGAACCCCATATTTCTTTGCATAGAATGTGGACAGTTTCGATTTAAAACTGATGGTTATTTGCTCCCAAGTTTTAAGAGTAAGAGGGGGAGCAGGAAAGAAGTATTCAGGATACTTGCCAAGAACTTAAGACTTGTGTTGAACTAACTGGATGAAATGACAAGAGGATAAAATCTCGAAATGGCAAGATTAAGAGGTGGACTAATTGATATGAGCATTTTCCTCCTTTAAGCCAGTTTTCTTCTCTAGGCAACTTGTGGCCTTCCAGATGTTGAGGGACTTGTCACTGGCTATGCTGATTAGGGCTGATGGAAGTTACAACCTAGCAGCATCTGGATGACCACGATTCCCTACCTCTGCTTGAAGTCCACAGCACATAAATCTTTCAGAACTTTCTGACCTGTCTTGTAAGGCAACTGAATTACTGCATTATCTCTCTGTAACAGCCAGAGAAGCTCACAGGAGATCCCAGGGAGGAATGATGCCGGGTAGCTCAACAACATCTGGAAAGACACATGTCCCCATTCCATGGCCCACAGCACCTCTGACAGCTATTGAACTTCTGCTTAAAAACCTCCAGCGAAGGGAAGCACCCCAGCTTCAGATGCAGTCTGTGTTCCGCTGGCAGAAGAGCTCTCTATTAATTTATCCTAATGTTTGGCCAACATCTGTCTCCCTGCAGTTCTCACCCAGTGCTTGTAGCCATGCCCTCAAGCAACAGAGAACCCATCAACAGCTCTTCAGTTATTTGAGGACTGCTATCCCCTCTCCCCTTAATCTCCCATCCTAGAGAAATACTGTGTTCTATAAGTTACGCTCTTCATAGATTAAGTCCTTTTCAGCTATTCTTCATAGGACCTGGGTTTCTCATCTATTCTCAGCTGGTCTTCCTTGGACACGCTGTCATTTAGCAAGCTCAGCATTGCTCCCTTTGCTCCTTTGCCCCAAAGGAGTCTCCCACATATCACGTAGACACTTCAGACAAATATTAACAGCCTAATTCCAACTTCAAATGTTGTACCGAGAGGGTCAAAGGCTGGAAGATTATGGCAAAACACCTCATAGCTTGGCTGCGTATCAGGGAGGAATGCTGACCTGTCGTCAGGTTGCAGTGCCTTTT